TAAAGACTATAGCAGCAATAATGGAGTCCTTTCTTTTCCTAGGCACTTTTCCTTATGAGAGCATGGGCTTGACAGTCAAAATGTGTGGTTTGAATCCTATCTCTACCATTTATTAGCTACTAGAGGCCCGTGCACTGGGGAGGGTTCCTCAGCCTGGGCCTGCGCCCTCTCGCAGTCCAGGACTCTCGGGGGATGTCCACCTGCCAGCTTAGGCCCGCTCCGTGCTCATGGCTGATGAGCACAGTGGCAGTGGCGGGAGCCTCTCCTTCCTCCACGGCAGCACTAAGGAACAGCGAGCTCAGCTTCTGGCTGAGTGGTGCTCCCCTTGTGGGAGTGTGCTGACCACCAGGGGGCAGCTCCTGTGTTGAGCATCTGCCCCCTGCTGGTCAGTGTGCATCAGAGTGACCGGTCATTCCACTGTGTTGTCGATTTGCATATTAGGGTTTTATTATATAGAATGTGACCTTAGGAATATTACTTAATGTGTCCGGGACTCAGTTTCTTCATCTGCAAAATGGGAAAAGTATTATTTTGTTATCTTTGGGGGGATGCTAAGATTAAAAAGATAATGGTTAGTGCTGAAGTAAGAGCTCAGTAAAGTCAGTTTTTCGTGATATTCTTTCGAAGGAATTAAAAATTAAGCCAACCTATGTTCATGGTGATTTGTGCATTGAGATTAATCCTGAGGTATTTATTTTGAGGGGAGATTTGTAAGATTGTGTAGAACTTTCATATCTTAATTTTATTTTAATCTTCTTTTACTTTGTATAAACAGTATATACTTAATGTTTTTATTATTCAGTTCTTTTGGGCAAAAAATCGTGTCTTTATAAATTTTGATAATTCAGCAAACTTGATTTGCCTTTTGTTTGATTATAGGAAAAAAATTTGGATGACAAAGCATATCGTAATATCCAGGAACTGGAAAATTATGCCGAAAACACACAGAGTTCTCTTCTTTATTTAACACTAGAAATATTGGGTAAGTTGTGTTTTTTTTAATTTCATACTTCTCTTTTTCTGAATAAAACACGTTTCAGACTTCATTCTTTCATAATTTGACAATCTAACCACTTTAACACTGAAGTTTTTCTTTGCATCATTTGTAAAGGAACAGCTATATTTTTTTTTTTTGAGCAAGAAGAGGAATATATGTTTGTCTTTGGAGTGCAGACTAATCACAATGCTTCGGCTCTAATAAAAATACTTTAGCTGTGGCTGGTTTGGCTCAGTGGATAGAGTATCAGCCTGCGGACTAAAGGGTCCTGGATTTGATTCCGGTCAAAGGCACATGCCCAGGTTGTGGGCTCGGTCCCCAGTGGGGGGTGTGCAGGAGGCAGCCAATAGGTGATTCTCTCTCATCATTAATGTTTCTATCTCTCTTCCTCTCTGAAATCAATAAAAATATATTTAAAAAAATACTTTAGCTACTTCATGGGAATGTCATAGTTAATAATCTGGTAATTACGGATGTTTATTTTATTTTTTTATGTTAGTTAATCCTCACCCGAAAATATTTTTTCCATTGATTTTTTTTTTGGAGAGAGTGGAAAGGAAGGGGAGAGACAGAGAGAGAGAGAAAAAAACACATCGATGTGAGAAAGGCACATCGATTGGTTGCCTCCCGCACACGCCCCAACCGGGAATCGAACCCGAGATCTTTCGATCGCAGGCCGACGTTCCAACCTCTGAGCCAAACAGGCCAGGGCTGATGATTTTTTAAGCCTCTAAGCTGGGAAGGTCTTATAGTAATGAGGATTGTAATGAGGAAATTACTTGGCACAAGGACAGTAACATCCATTTGGAGACGGTAATATATTTTTATGTCACCCTAAAGGAATAAATGTTATTTTGTCCTATGCATATTGAATTTCCCAGGCCTGTTCTGCCTGCACATTCAGTGACATGTTTGCCAACACAATGAAAGGAGGGAGCAAAGAGCAGAATATACTTAAAGTGAGGTCGTATGGACGTTGCACTGAGAAGAAATGAAACACTCATGTTGTTTTTCCATGATAGCTGATTACAATTCCAAATGTGTTTTTAGTTTAGTAGTCAGCTTGTTTTTGTGCCCATTTTACTCATAGATCCTGTTTTTCAGATGTGAATGCATTAGGATAAACAATTAGTTTTACATGTGTAGGTGATTTCTCTTTGTACTTCTGTTGACTTATGCATTTAAAGAGCAGTCCTGTGATTACTTTCAAAACCACAGGTGTAAAGGACCTTCATGCAGATCATGCTGCAAGTCACATTGGAAAGGCGCACGGCATTGTCACTTGCTTGAGAGCCACGCCGTATCACACTAGCAGAAGAAGGGTGTTCCTTCCCATGGACATTTGTATGCTGGTAAGGCTGTTACTTGTATTTACCTCAGGAAGATGGGAGGGATGTTATTTCTTGGCTCTTTGCTTAGTCTGTTCAAGGAACTGCTTTGAAATGAATGTGTGTTTCTTTTCGGCTCCTTGGTTATCAAGTGAGAATTTTTGTCAGTCAGGCATTTTCGGTCTCTGGTGGAGCTATGAGTAAGGAAATCCGGAGAACCTCACTTGGTGTAGCTTCATGTGGATGCTTACTCCCTTCCAAGCAATGACAGTAATTATTCCTACTGTTAGCTTAGCCTGTTCTATTTTATTTTATTTTATTTTATTTTTTAATTGAGGAGAGAAGAGAGAGAGAAAGAGAAACATTGGTTTGTTGTTCCACTTACTTATGCATTCATTGGTTGATTCAGGTATGTGCCCTGACTGGGGATCAAACCCGCAACCTTGGCGTATTGGGATGAGGCTCCAACCAACTGAGCTACCTGGCCAGGACCAGCCTGTTCTTTATTTTAGAGGAGGAAATCATCCTTAAGACAAGAATATTGTTTATGAGAACTTTTAGTTTCTGTATGAGAATCATTATTGTCTGTGCTTTTAAAACGTCTTATATGTTTGTTTTCTTGTGTATTTTTTTAAGATATATTTTTATTGATTTCAGAGAGGAAGGGAGAGGGAGAGAGGAGGTAGAAACATCAATGATGAGAATCATTGATCGGCTGTCTCATGCACGCCCCCTACTGGGGATCAAGCCTGCTACTTGGACATGTGCTCTTGACCAGAATCGAACCCAGGACTAACGCTCTATCTACTGAGCAAAACCAGCTAGGGCTCTTGCTTGTGTATTTTTGTTCTACTACTACAGCTGTTGTTAATTATCATCCTGTTGCATATTCTTGAGAGAGAGAGAGAGAGAGAGAGAGAGGAGAGAGAGCGCGCCTGTGTATATATACACAGCCACACATACACATATATGTACACATCCATATATTTTTAAAAACAAAATAGACATTATATTGTACTTACTGTTCTCTCACCTGTTTTCTTGAGCTAAGTTAGTTTTAAGTATGCTTTTTAATTGCTAATATAA